ATATATATATATATATATATATATATATATATATATATATATATATATATATATATATATATATATATATATATATATATATCACCTACCCAAAAGCAGATTCCTACTGGTTGTTGATAAGAATTTCTTTACATAAATATGTGTGGGTGATTTTAAAAAAATTAATATATATTTTTTTAAACAGTTATTCTCATTTTGATTTTTTAAAAATCATATCCCATAATGAAAAAAAAAAAACTCAAATTACACCTCCTTTACCCCTCTTCTTGTATTCTCTCTTCCACGGTGTCTCATTGCCCATGCTTATATCTTCATGTGAGGGTTGGTCTTCTTGATTATTCTCCTATGTACATGGGATGGTTGTATCGCTTTTTTGTATTAGCTAACTCTGCTAACCACCTCTCTTGACTCTCTTAGCACCTATGCCTTTATGCACGGGTTGACTTCATTACTCTTTTCTCTCCTTTAGTCACTGATATCTCTCTGCGCACAAAATAGCCCCACCAACTATCACCTATGCTAGTGTAATATTCTTGATTCGACGAGAGTGTAGGGATGATAACAAAGACAACATAGGAGGAGATTGGTGGAATAATTTGGATAGTTTTCTAATTAAAGATATGATTGAGAAAACTTTAATATTGATAACTATTTAAGAAATATCTAAAATAGATATATTTTTTAGGAAAATCGTCCAATCTATATGCTTTCTCTCTCTCTCTCTCTCTCTCTCTCTCTATATATATATCTATATATATACACGTTCGTCCTGTGTTTCCAGGTTTCGGGTTAGCGTTCTTGTGCGAGAAGGATCCTTTTCCTCGTCCTCCTCCTCCTCGTAACCGGATCAGCCCTCTATTGCTCGCTCAAATCGGGCCGATCATGGACATCAAGTGCTTGAAAGAGTTCCCTCACCACCTCGTGGAATCCCGCCCCCGGAAGCGCGCGAGGTTAGGGTGGGACGTCGACCCACTCGCCGCCGCCAAGGTATTCGCGTGCCCTTCTCGTTTCCTACTCTTTCTTGATGATTTTTTCATCTGTTCTAGTAGATGTTGAGGAGTTTCCCTTTACGGTTGGATGAAGTGCGATCCTTGATTCGCTTCTTTGTGTGTGTCTCTTCTCGTTTGGATCGTTTGGGGTTTCTTTCTCATTGATCCGAATCGTTTGGGTGACATATTTTCTGTTTTATTCGGTAAATTATTTTTTATTTTGTTTTGTAGATTATTAATTTATTACACATTAATTTATAATTACGGTAAGCTACTGATATTTGTGATAATCATTATATTGAACATATATATCTGCATGATCACAAATCTCAACTTCCTCCAAGCTTTTAGTTATTATTCCTAATAATGGATCTTTAGGCTTTTTTGTTTGTTAACAATGGAAAGCAATTTCTTGCATATTCTTCAAAAAAAGAAGGATAAACCTAATTTCTTAGGTAATAATAATTTTGTTGGTTGGATGGGAGAAAAATAAGTTGACTCTTGTCTGTAGGCCCATATAGGTATGTTATGTGGGCAAGAAGTTAATGTGAAGTGCACGGTATCTTCGGAAGCTACTCTGGACCATACTTGTTCTTTGAAGTATGCAAAGGATTTGCATCAACATGCTTCCCCTCCTTGGAGAGAAGATGACAAAGATGGACATTACAAGTTTGAAGTTGGAGAAGATTTAACCTCTCGCTGTAATCTCACTTGACTATTCTATTTTTCTTATTTTTCTTTTCCAAACTCCCCTTGCTTATTTTCTGAATTCATATATGTGATATATGCCATCTGATCTTTTCTAAAAGAAAGTCTGTCTCAGAAGAAACTTGACTGTATGCCAGTTTATGCATCATCCTCACAGCATCTTAATGCATAAAATCAGATTTATTTAGTTACCTCAGCAAAGTAATAATCTTTTACAATCAGTCCTTGGGCTATGCTGATATTCAGATTATCATCCAAAGTTGTATTATGTGATTACATTAATATGTTGCTACATTATGATATCTTTTCTATGAACATTATCTCCAATCTATTCTATTTTATACTCTATGTTTGACTTATTGTTGTATCTTTCAGAACTTCATGTTAGTTATGTACTGCATTGACATTTGGAAAACGTAATATCATCAATTTAGCAATCTGTTGTGTCGTCTCCCCCTGATCATGATGAAGTTTGCTTATGTTTTGCATACATTTTGGAATCATGATGTAAAATGTGCTTGTGCTCACATCTTGTTTCCTTTACCGACATTCCTATGGTTTATCTAACTTGATTTTGTCTTTTGCACTTCGTTGCAGATAAAATTCATGGCAAAATGGGTGAAGGTAAGACTGTATCCGTGTTTAACTTTCGTATAAATCCTATTCTCATGGCTGGAAGAAACCTTGTTCTGTTTTAAGTGTTTTACTCTGTCAGTTTCCAGATGGTTCATCTTTTTCTCCCCTATTTTTCGTGCCATCACTAATTTCTTTCTGCCATGAAATCAGGTACGTTTGGACAGGTTTTGGAATGCTGGGATAGAGAAAGAGAGGAAATGGTAGCCATCAAAATTATTCGAGGCATCAAGAAGTATAGAGAAGCTGCTATGATAGAAATTGATATGCTGCAACAGCTTGGGAAGCATGATAAGAATGGAAGTCTGTAAGTATCATGCATCATTTTCTTTCACTCCTTTTAGATGATCATTCTTTAATTGTTACTCTTCTACGTTTAAGATTATACATGTATAAGATGGTGCATTCTTGCAGTTGTGTGCAAATACGGAACTGGTTTGACTATCGTAACCATATCTGTATTGTAAGTATATGAGTTACAATTTTCCTACTTTCCCACTTACAGTTGGGAGTTGAAAATATCCGTGAACTTAAACGATTTTAACAGGTATTTGAGAAGCTTGGTCCAAGTTTATATGATTTTCTACGCAAAAACAATTATCGCTCATTTCCAATCGATCTAGTCCGCAAGTTTGCCAGACAATTACTGGAATGTGTAGCATGTGGGTAGACAATACTTCCACATCTTATATTTTTCACCATTCATGGGCATTCAATTTTTTGCTTTTTCTCTATATGGTGTTGTTGGCTATTAGCTGTAGTAAAGTCCTATATCTTAGGATCATTATGATAGATTTTGCAATAGAACGACACCTTTATTGGTATCAGTGCCCTGCATCTGGCTTATCCTTGGCGACCCTTACTTGAATTCATGATCTCTAAACAGTGGTTTAACTTTTCTGTTTCTTCTGTATTCACTTCCTTTTAATTGCTTGTTTGCAGTCATGCATGATATGAGCCTCATTCACACTGATTTAAAGCCTGAGAACATTCTTCTTGTTTCTCCAGAGTACATCAGAGTACCTGATTACAAAGTACTTATTTTAGTTACTGTCTTGAATGATATAGTTTAATCTTTGTTTTAATTGTGTTGAACCTTGTTGTTGACCTCTCATCTTAGTAATACGATGGCTGGATTCTCCTCACTGTGATGAATCATAACCATTGTCATGCCATTGCTAAACTAATAATCAACTCTTTACTTAGGTTTCAATCCGATCTTCAAAGAAGGGTTCCTTCTTTAAGAGAGTGCCAAAATCAAGTGCCATCAAGGTGATTGATTTTGGAAGTACAACTTATGATCATGAAGACAATAACTATGTGGTCTCGACCAGACATTATCGGGCGCCTGAGGTTATTTTGGGTGTGTTTCGTTCTGCAAACAAAGAAATCATTTTTGTTGTTCTTGTTTATATGTTACTTCATGGTATTTATGATTGAGTTTAGGACTTGGATGGAGCTATCCCTGTGATATTTGGAGCGTCGGTTGTATACTTGTTGAACTTTGCTCGGTCTGTTTAACAGTGATGAGTTCAATGTCTTTGTTTTTAGCCATCTGTTCCTAATATGCTTTTGCATAAACTGAAGCTCCAGACACCTTGATGCAGGGTCAGACATTATTTCAGACCCATGATGACTTGGAACACTTGGCCATGATGGAAAGTGCGCTAGGACCCTTACCCTCAAACATGCTGAGACTTGCATAGTAAATGCCTTCAATTATTGATTTTATTTTCTTCTAGAAGTACTATTGAATGCAGGGTTTGCCGTACCGAGCCATACCGCCCGGTACGGGCGGTATGTACCGGTCCGACAGATTTTCGGTACGCGGACCGATGGTTACCGGTCCGAGGTACTGTAGCAGGTACTGTAGCAGTGCTACAGTAATCGGTACACTCAGGTGTACCGCTCGGTATACCGTACCATACCGGTACCAAGTCCAGGTCGAAATACCGGTACGGTACGGTATTGCGAACCTTGATTGAATGATCCTTAATGAATCAAGTAGCTGTAATTAAACTTTTTTCTTTATTTTTTAGCCGACAGAAGTATATTCGAAGGGGTCGTTTGAATTGGCCTGAGGGTGCAACCTCAAGGGAGAGTATGAAAGCTGTGCTGAAACTTCCTCGGCTGCAGGTATACCTAGTCAATATTAGCCAAATAAATTACATGATAACCTCTATCAGATTTTTTTTTTTTTGCCACAAATTGGATTTAGGGACATCAGAAGAATGGAGATGAGTATTTGTAATTGTTAAACTATGTTGTATAAAGTAGTTGATTTGTCTACATGTAATTATTTCCATATGTTCAATTTGGTGGAGAGTTGGGTGGAACCACAGAGGAGATTTTTGCAAGATTTAGATTTCCCATTGCTCAGTGGATTGATATCATTGGATCCCAAGCTTCTGGGTTCTTTCTTAGTAGCCTGTTGCTTTTAATCTTTTCGTCCGTGCTTGCACAACAGTTTCTTTCCCACAGTTAAAAGCCAAATATCTTTGCAATTAGCAGTCAAGTATGTCATCTAAATCTGGCTTTATGGTGCTTTTCTCTGCAGAATTTGGTGATGCAGCATACGGATAATTCAGCCGGAGATTTCATTAATCTTTTACAAGGGCTTTTGAGATATCACCCTGCAGATAGATTATCTGCTAACGAAGCTCTCTTGCATCCTTTCTTCACAAGAATTGACAAGCAGAGGTCCTGGCCATGCCGCTGATTCTGTATTTGGCAACAAGCAGATAGAGTTGGCACTAACATTTCCGGGAGGAACAAGAACCAAATTGGCCACAATGCCCAAAGTGTTTCCAGTTACTCGGAAGCTTCTGCTAACCTGCAGTTGCATGTACACTGCACAATCTCGTCTATAAAGTATTGTATAGTTGTTCTGTTTTGTTTTCTTTGTTGTGATTAATGACTAGTTTTCTTCCAAAAGATAGGCTCCAAAGCTATGAAATTTGTTTTTTCAATGTTTATGGGTTTGCTTGTGCATGATCTTAATTCATACTGCTCTCCTTTAAAGTGTTCCGCATATAAACCTCATCACATTTTGTTCAGTTGATGCATTTTAATTCTCATCTAAGGGATTTAAAATTCCTCTTGGATGCATAAACACATCTCCTCATTTTAATTCTCATTTTTATTTGATTTAAATTTTAATAAAGTAAAATGCTATATTGTCACAACTCAAGCAGCGAATTAGATCTGACGAGTTGGTGTAGCAACTTCGGTCTCATCTTACACGGAGCTCTGTATAGTTTGATATCACTTGATGCATTACGAATCTTAACGCAGATCTTCCGTATCCGGTGATGTGACTGATATCTATTTATTGTATTACGAATCTTAGCGCATGATTGATATCCAATTAATTCATGGTCTCTTATGCCTCTTCCTTTTCCTCTCGTATCTCGAGGGAGACACCTAATCGTTTGTCTTGAGATAATTTCGAGCTTTAAAAATATTTTTTTATATTTAAAAAAACTAAATTCGATAATAGATCGAATTTTCTATTTAACTATGAATAATAATAATAAAATCATAAGTTACAATCATTTGAGATTGACTATAATAAAATCATTAATCCTTTATCAACTATGAACCATTTTATAAATAAATTATTTAAATTTTAGATATAAAAATATGAATAAGCTCATGTTCTAATTTATATATCAAGTCAATTAACTCGAAATCACTCGAGTATAGCTGAATAACAATATCTCATATGCATAAGATATATGAAATTTAGACTTGGGATTTCCGTTCTAACATTGATAGTATCTAAAAGAAATAAAATATAAATCAATTCGATCACTATAATTAGCCACCGAGGCGGGAATCAAACTCTAATAATACCCCGACGATTCCATGGGAATAATTAAAGCCCAAAAGCAAGCATCAGACCCAATCAATCTCCTCTCTTTCTTCACCACACAATCACTGGCCATGATTCCGTGATCCCCAAAAAAAATGTTGACCCCGCCACTTCCGTCAAACCGCCACCACCTTTTCCATTAAACAAGTAAACGAAAGGGTGCCCTTTGGTCCACACACACACACGAGGAGGAGAGCGAGTGGTGGCGGAGAATAGGACAGAGTGAGCAAAGTCTCTTCCTCAGGTCACGATTGAGGCCTTCGTCTTTCTTGGAACCTTCCACATCCATGAATCTGTGGCCGCCACCACCAACCCTCCTCCCTTCTCTCCCTCTCTCTCTCTCTCAATCTCCCTTCACTTCTCCCATCTCCCAAAATTAAGTGCGCTTTGTAAAATGTGGTGTACGATATTAGAATGACAAAATATTATACACAAACGCGCGCTCTTCATGAATTTTACATCTATATCCCTAAAATTAAGAATATTGAATGACATGTATTTTTACTTAATTTGAGAATGTAAAGAGCTCTTCTATATTCTTTGATAGAAAATAGTAGGTTAGTTTCGTTATTTTTGAGATTGTAGAAGGACATACATGTAAAAGTGGCCAAAAGGAAACGGTGGATACCATGATGCGATTCCATTATCCCCGTCTTCTCCTCGAACCTTTCAATCTCGTTAACTTCTATTCCCGATCGCTATTTATAGCAGTGCAAGAAGCGATCCGTAGGGAAGGAAGAAAGACGACAAGAGGCCCGAGCGAAAGCAGAGCATAGCGGAGAGAGAGAGAGAGAGAGCGAGAGAGAGATGGTGGTCATGGAAGCGGCCGCTATAGCCACCAGGTTTCTCAACCCAAGCCCTAACCCTAATTCTATCAGTAACCCGGTTCTCCGAACCGTTCCATGCCGACGCCGGCAGCCGCGGCTCCTCGCAGTGCGCTGCGTCCAGACACCCAGCCCCAGCCACAACCCCAACCCTGCCCGTGGCCCCCCGCTCTCCTGCTCCGCCGTCGCCTCTGACCAGGCCGCCCCCGCCGGCATCCCCCGCCATCGCCTCGCCCGCCTGGTGGACGAGTTCCGATCCCTCCCGGAGGCCCTGGACCGAGTGAAGCGCCTCCTCGCGTGCGCCGCTTCGCTACCGGCCTTCCCCGAGGCCGGCAGGGTCCCGGCCAACCGCGTCATGGGCTGTACCGCCCAGGTCTGGCTCTCGGTGGCGGTGGACGAGCTCGGCCGCATGCGATTCGCGGCCGACTCCGATTCGGAGATCACCAAAGGTTTCTGCGCTTGCCTTGTCTCCGTGCTCGATGGGGCGCTACCGGAGGAGGTACTGGAGTTGAGGCCGGAGGATTTTGGCGACCTGAACGTGGTCGGATTGCCGGTAAAGGCACACTCGAGGATCAACACGTGGCACAACGTGCTTATCAGCATGCAGAAGAGGACCAAGGCCTTGATTGCCAAGAGAGAAGGGCGGCCGTCTTTGGATCCATTCCCGTCGTTGGTCATCGGGGCTGATGGGATTGAGGCCAAGGGGAGCTACGCGGAAGCTCAGGTGAGCTCTTCTTCCAACAAATCTGTCTGAATCAATCAAAGGATAAATTAATATCATCATGATCGAGTACATGTTCTTCTCTGCATCGCAACCAAGTCATATATGTTTCATGGTCATCATTGATGACGGAATGATGTTCAGTTAATTATTTTTTGTGTTGAAGTATATCTATTAATAGCATTTATAGAGGAGTTTCTTGTTGGCACTTTTACGGCTCGTTGTTGTCGTTATAAATTGTTTAAAAGATCACATAATATACGTGTCCTGCTGTTTTCAGCTTAGTGTCAGTTTGCTGGATTGTTGTAAATGGGGTGTGACTTGTGCCTTATGTCAGTAAATAAGATAGTTAGGGAAGGTTATTGAAACATGCATGGGAAAATATATTAGAAGTCATCAATTTTATCTTGATCCGCATTATTTTCGTACCTACTAGGTACCACTTTATTCTAATAAGCAACTAAGTCTCCTGGATGGTTGAATAGAGGCATATTGTGGTAAAAAAACATAGGACATTTTTCATGCAATTCAAATTGATAGTTGAGTAGCAATTGAAATGTTTTGAGATGGTTCTGTTATTTGTTTGCAATGAATTACCAGTTTATTCTTCAGGTGTTATTCCCTTGAATTTGGTTGTGTAAAGAAAGACATTAAGAAATGTACATTTTCTTTGGCATTTTACTGAGTCTTGTTTGAGGGTGCAGCTGATTCTTCTTATTCTCTCATTAGTTGCACATTCTTGAGTTTTGCCTGTAGTTCTTTGGTTGCCACTATTTTGACTCCTGTGCTCCTATAACATTATCGATGTGCTTATTTTGCTGCAGGCTTGACGATTGATGTCTTGAGCTCTATTTGGTATGAAGAAAAAAATCTATAAATACGATAAGATACAGTTGGATATTCCAATCACCTTTGTTGAAAATGGATGGGGTGGTGGGTATGAGTGTCATCAAGAGCGTCAGCTCATAAATTTTAGTTTCCTCATAGATCTAAACAAAAATAATCCTGTGTGGATTTGTAAAGATATGAAATGAATTATTGGCTGATTTTGATGTTGCCGACGATAATTAGAGGATTGTTTGAGCTAGGACCAAGGCAATGGTTTGATAATATTAGGCCATTGATAGCATGTGGACCTTTTTTCACATTTAGTTTTGTTGTAGATAACAACGCTGTGTATTGTATAATCAGGGGGCATTGTATCCATTTTACAGTTTCCAGCCAAAGATACTTTGGTCTTCCTTTGTTCTTATTCTTTTGTTTCAAATGACTCATCACTGGTTAATTCATGAGTTACCTTTGGACATTTCAGAACTATATGATGATTCTTCTATAAACTATATTTCATCAGTGCTAATGTTAAAACTTTTTGAATTCACAACTATTTTTTTTTTATAACAACAGTAGTTATCTATCTCTGTTTCCTCATCTCTGTTATGATAATATTTTGGTTTTCTGTTACTGAAACTACTCAAAATTCTAACCTTTGCAACATAATTAAACTTATGAAATCATAAATTTACATTGATACTTCCCCTTGTTTTGATAAATTTGCTTTAATTTCCAAATCATATTCAATAATAGATTTGTCGTCCTCATTGACTGCACTTTCATTTCTATGTGCATTTGATTGAATTGTACTTTCATAGCTTGGTTTTAGTTTTAGTGTACTTATCTTCTAAGGTTTGACTTGATAGAGAGGTTCATTTATAGTCTCTACTATCATTAATCATTTAAAATTTAGCTGTGGTTAGGTGAGACACCTATCACTTGGGATAGAGCGAGCCGTATGATTTTGACTTGCTTTATTGAAAAAAGAAAAAGAAAATTACTGTTTGATCTGGTGTTTAGATTTTGTAACTTGGTCACTTGTTTGAATTTTCAACTTTGTTGGTCAGCATTGGCCTCCAATTATGAGTCAGCAATTGACTTTAACAACTGCTGTTGCTTGTTCTGTTTTCCATTATGTTATGATTCTTTACACAGTCTATGGTGGACCAGTTTTATTCAAGTTTTATCCTCCTGTGACTATGATCAACTGACATGAAGATGCTTACATATGATTGATTACTAGTGCTTATATGTAAATTATACACCTTTTTCTCCGAGTAAGTTATATCATCTGTTTTCCTGCTTATATAGTCAAGTGTTGAATCATTGAGCTTGGATGTGACATAATTGTTTTTGACACTTTAGTTTCTTATCTCGATTGGACATGTTTCATAATTGCAATTCTTAGTAAACCAAGCATAGAATAATTCTTTGATTTGAGCATAATGTTCTTTAGCTTCTAGCCTTCTACTAATACTTATATAAGGAAAAAATATATTCACAATTTAAGCTATTTATATTTGGTTGTCTGAAATATCATGGTCGAGAAGAATCCATGCTTAGTTTATATTGTAGATTGTGCTAATGACTGTTTGGGTGAAATCCTTTTAGTAGATTGGCTTGCATGTGTCTTTATCTATCTTTCTTGCTGGATGCTAACATCTAACTTTCAATTATGTGAACTTTCTATTTGAAGTAAATTACTTGTTTTTGTCTATGGAGGAATCCTATTGTTGAATACTTGGTATAGAATGGCACAATTTTGTGTGACCACAAATAATATATTCTAACTGTGTTGGTCTATGCCAGTGGCATGTATGGTGCTGGTGATTTCATGTAATCCTTTTATCAGTTGGGAGTCAAGGAGCCCTGGTCCTTAACAGTGGCCACATCTCTTCCCTTCAAGGCACCCCTTTTGGGGTGGATCTTAAAGGACAAAACCACGTGGGCTGGAGCTCAAAGTGAACAATGTCTCGTGGGTCCCAAGCCTGGGCCATTGACAGGATTGTGCATTATGAGACCACGAACCATATAGGTCAAAGAGGCTTGTGGCTTCTGAACTGGGGACCCCTCAATCTCAATGATGCCCACATATCCTCATGTTGGTTAGGGGTAGGGAGACTTGGGCTTTGAGTTAACAACTCTTCCCTTACCTCGAGCCACCTCTTCGGGTGGGGGGCTCCAAAGGACAAAGCTGTGCTGGTTGTAACTCAATGTGGACGATGCCTTGGCAGGTTCTAACCTAGATTGGTGACATATTTGTGTATCATTGTGCCAATCAGGTATTGACATGGCACTTAAGCTATGCCAAGGGTGTGCAGGTGGACCCTTTGGTAGATAGAGGATTTGTGCGCACATATTATGTCAGACTCTGCCAACATTTTGTCGACGTGTCCCAGTAGCGAAAATGAAAATTTTGTTATAAAAGGAGTTGTATACTTCACCTGGGTTTCCTGAAGTAAGATGTCTTTGTATTACTCAATTGTTTGACATGCATAAAAATTTTGGCAAGTTCTCATCATCCCTTTATAGTGTAATTGCAGGCAATGTTTTTATCTCCGGATGAACTGAAGATACAGGAGCTGGTGAATGTGCTAAGGGAAAAAAAAATTGGTGTCGTTGCACACTTTTATATGGATCCAGAGGTTCAAGGCGTTTTAACTGCTGCGCAGAAGTTGTGGCCTCACATCCACATATCTGATTCCTTGGTAATGGCAGATAGGGCTGTTAAAATGGCAGAAGCTGGTTGTGAGTACATTACAGTACTTGGTGTGGACTTCATGTCTGAAAATGTTCGTGCAATACTGGATCAGGCTGGTTATAATAAGGTAATGTAGTTTTCTTTTAATTTTTTTAAATGTACATTTTATGCACACATTGTTCAGTGTTCTGTGTTATATATCATGATACTTGCAAAAGTAGAATTTAATATGAGTGTTTGTAGGTTTTCATTGGTACTAGGTAGCACAATGAGCTGGATGATCTAAGGTTTTGCTTTCAAGAAACCATCATAATAACCAGATTGTTCAATTTGAACAGTAGTGGTTGATTAGATCTTAACAAATACATGTAACTCTTAGATTGAAGGTAGATTGTCTATATGTACAGTTTGGACTTATGGCTACCGACCCATTGGAAAACTTTTGCTACCTATTATGTCAGTGTAAACTCATACCAAGTATAAAAATCATAGAAGACTTGGGCTTAGATTCTGTGGTCAAAGAGGATAAGGTGTTACCAAACCTGTTACGGACTGTCACATCCTACTGATTCTCAGAATCTAATAATGGTTAAACTCTGAAGACAGCTTGGCAGAGCTGTTATGTTGCTTCTCGTTGGAGTGTTATGTGGCCATTATACAGAAGATGTTGCATGCTGGTAATTATTATTCTATCTAATTGCCTCTGTGTACTGTAAGTGTACCAGTTCTTGCATGGACTGGTTCAAGTCTATCATCCTGTTAAAGGTTCATCCATATGCCTTTGGTGCCTCAGGACAGCAATCCATTTACATTTAGTGGAAACTTCTAACATTTTATTTTCAGAAAGATTTCCTTTTTTCCACCATCTTATACACTTCTATGAATATCATACAACAGTGCAGTTTAATGCCTTCTGATTGTTAATACATTGAAGTTAACATGATGATCACATAGTAACTCTCACCAGCATGTGAACTCTGCCTTTGTTCTTGGAAAAGAGAGTTCAACTCTTTTTTTTTTAGTTATGTTCATCATGGATTTTATTACTGGTAAGCTTGTTCTAGTTTGTCTTTTTCAGAAGCAAGCATGAAATGTCTCGTTAGAACATTTACTTGTTATCTTTTACAATGGATTTTTCGGAAGATTTTTAACAACCGTAGGTTTCTTACAGGTTGGTGTGTACAGAATGTCCAATGAATTAATTGGTTGCTCTTTGGCGGATGCAGCAGCAAGTCCATCATACATGAAGTTCTTGGAGGCAGCCTCTAATTCACCTCCTTCGTTGCATGTGATTTATATAAATACTTCCTTGGAGACCAAAGCTTATGGACATGAACTAGTACCCACCATCACTTGTACTTCATCTAATGTTGTGCAGACTATATTGCAGGTTGTTAATAATTAAATTTGTATTACTAGTCTTGTATGCTTAATCTTTCCTTAAATACTAATAAAATATTCTTCAGGCATTTGCTCAAGTACCAGAATTAAATGTGTGGTATGGTCCTGATTCCTACATGGGTGCAAATATCGCGGAGTTGTTTCGCCAAATGGCTGACATGACTGATGATGAGATATCAAGAATACATCCAGAGCATAATAGGAACTCCATAATATCATTACTGAGTAGGCTCCGTTACTATCAGGTTTGTCAAGAAATCCAGTCTTTGCTTTCTTCAATCAACACTTCTTATCATGTTTGGCTATCAGCTTCTATTAGATAGAAATGTGTTTATATAGCTCTTCTAGTTATTCTTTGGTTAAATCACAAAAAGAAAGATGGTACACAGATGCATATATGAGTGGCTTTCAAAGCAACTATGCTATTTAGAAATTTTTAAAAATAATTTTAGAGTGCTTCAAATGATTGATAATATCAGAATGTTATCTACATTAGTAATTGCTTATGGGATAGAAGATTTTGGTATGGTCATGCTAGATTTCTTAATGATTTAATGTCCCAATGTTTTTCTTGATGGGTTGAAGTATTATACCATTAGGATCTTGGTTTGTTTGCGCTTACATAGTGCAAGAGCAATTGAGTGACACCATCGAGTTTAGGTATCTAAAAGCTTCAAGACTAAAAATATAGTAGATAATCTATGGATATTCAAATGATAATTGTGTTTCTATAGTAACTATTACTGACTATTGTACTCCTGATTAATGTTCTTCTATGAAAATTGTTGCAACTTTGCTTATGAAATTTAACATGCAGGATGGTAACTGCATTGTGCACGACATGTTTGGTCATGAAGTCGTGGAGCGGATCAAAGAGCTGTACTGTGATGCATTCCTGACAGCTCATTTTGAAGTCCCAGGGGAAATGTTCTCTTTGGCGATGGAAGCAAAGCAGAGAGGAATGGGAGTAGTGGGTTCCACCCAGAACATTTTAGATTTCATTAAAAATCGGGTGCAAGAAGCCTTGGACAGGGATGTCGATGATCGCCTACAGTTTGTGTTAGGAACCGAATCAGGGATGGTGACTTCCATAGTCGCTGTGGTTCGTGGGTTACTGGGTTCAAGGGAGTCGAGAGCCAAAATCAAAGTTGACATTGTTTTTCCCGTCTCATCGGATTCAGTGTCAAGGACATCATCGGTAAATAGGTCTCAGGGTCTAAATCCTGATGTGGCAAGTGATCTCGCTAAACTTGCTGTTGTTCCTGGTGTGACAGCGGGTGAAGGGTGCTCTATTAATGGAGGTTGTGCTTCTTGTCCGTATATGAAGGTTAGCAGTAGTACCTCCGTTTAATTGCATCTATAATGATTTTATAGTAGTATTTAGATTATTGTGAATTTTTAGATGCATTGTGAAAACATTAGAAGTCGCTGACCCAAAAGACTATGCTGGTCTAGTGTATGAAAGATTACAGACTGGGGTTTGACTTTTCTCTAAAATCTGCATCTGTTGCATGCAGATGAACTCACTAACATCGCTGTTGAGAGTATGCCAGCAACTTCCTGACAGAGATGGCGCAATTCGTGACTATGAAGCCAACAGATTTAATACGACAACACCTCATGGAAAGTCAGTTGCAGATATTGGATGCGAACCAATTCTGCACATGAGGCACTTCCAGGTTATTTATGGCATTTTCCCCAATCTTCATAAACATCCCTGATCTCTCTCTCTCTCTCTCTCTCTCTCTCTCTCTCTCTCTCAAAGCTTCTATTTGCATCTCGGTAAACATCCCAATCCTTCTATTAGCAAATGCTGAAGATATTTGATCTTTCTTTCCAGGCAACAGGAAAGTTACCTGAGAAGCTCATCCATCAGATACTTGGTACTTCTAATGAAACAACAGTATCAACATGACTGATGTCTCAAGATTTAATGATCTAAGGCTTGAGTTCGGGTAGGATGCGTACTATGCTCCACCCAAGTTTTGGTAACGATGCATAATACGTCAATGCTTATACCGTGGATCATACAGGCATGTCCAATATATTTTCTCTCAGCTTTGCCAATTTCATAATGGTTATTGATCTTCTCAAGAATATTTACTTTTTAAGTGCTAGATTTTGTGGGATCAAAGAATGTATGGTTATCTGTTAGAGGAAATTGGCATGTATCAATCAATTTTCCTCAAAACTATATGACACATTATTTACACGGTGATCATCTTTTTGATACAACTTCTCTATCAATTCAAATATCTCCTGCTTGTTTGTTTGATTCCACTTGCTATATGGTTATTTTGAATGCCAAGGCATTATTAGCCCACTGTTTGGGTGAAAAGGAATTAAATCTTCAATGCTATTAGTATGCTTCAACATAGGGATTCGTTGAAATCTAAACTAGCATTTAGTGAGAAGCAGATAAAGATTATACTAGTGAAACACTGAAGTGCATTCAACAACTACTTTGTAATTGACAGTATCATTAAGCTAAAGACAGCACCATTGACATGAGATGACATTCTTTAGACATGCCAATAGGTCACTTACCACATCGAAATGTTAAGCATTCAATTCAGCGAGTTCTCTCCTTGCAGTTTCTGTCAAGGTGTACAGAAACCTTCTAGGATCACAAGCGTGGGGGTTAGAAAGAGCTGCATGAGCCAAGAAAGGCAACTTTCTCAAAGCCCTACCACTTGATCCCTGGTGACATCAGATACGACGAAAGACATCAGAATTAAGTTAATTTAATATTAAATCTCAGTGTCTACCATCAAAAAGACCAGCTTGTTACCTCACATGCTTTTGCAGCTTCAAGCAGAATCCTCGACAAATGAAGCGGCCCTTCAAGCTCTGTCGGCTCCGATGGATGCAGTGTCTCTTTCAAAGTAGAATAGTTGAGAAGCTGGAAATGAACTTGATCCTGGAGAACCCGAGCAATGAACATGATTCAAGACTAGATCCAAACGAACAAGAGTATCTTAGGGTTGCCTGTTGAGGGCGTAACAACTTTGTTTATATAAGGGCTTACTTAGTAGAGCTATATGACAATCAAAGCAGTTTAAACACAGCCATACAACAACATTAATGTGATAACAGCGAGCTAAGGTCATTCTAATTCACCATCGGATCATCCTCATCCAAAACCTTTAGTGCACAGCTAAAGTTAAGAACGTCCATTAAAGATTTCTTTGTGCCAGCAGGTGCCAAATTGACATCAGACGCTCTAATGGTTGCAACCACAGATCAATCCTACAAAAATTCCTAGCCAACAGGTGTCTTTTTGTGACACTATGATGCAGTAAACCTTGGTTGTCACCAGTGTGGTTGGAATTATGGTGAGGACCAAATTCAAGATATCAACATTAGATGTCAACCAAGACACCATGGAAACATTGAATGACGACATATAATACACAATCGAAATATCCAACCAGTAAAAGGACATATCAGTAATCAAGCGTTGCCTGGCTTCCTATCTAAAAACACTATATTGCGATATATTCAAAGTTTAAATTTGGACATGGATCGATTTGCTTTGCTCGACCAATAAAAAACATATCCCAGAACCACTTTTTGAGATCAATATGTAGTAAATGAGAATAAAAGTTTGAGAGAAGCACCTGAGGATATGTAACAATTCCAGCTCGCAGAAGTTCTTGTAGGCATGACCTCAATATTTCATATCGTGCTTCAAGTGTAGGGGGGCCCACATATGCCTTGATGTCTGCTCGGTCAACAAAAGCAATATCTGCAACCTAAACAATGGTGAGCTTATATATTTGACAATAGAAGCCACCACATGAGGACGTAGTGGAAAATACAGTGTGTTAAAACTGCAGATCAAGCAAAACATCCCTATTTATATTTTTTTCATATTTATTGTACTTGTACCTAAAAGAAAATATTAAAGAGAAGATCACCAAAATCACAACATCAAGCTCTAGACATTTTGCTAATAGCATCATAAAGTTCAAAGGCATGAACAACTTACCAATGGCTGTCGTTATATTTGATGTCGTGAGAATTATCACATTAGGCCAAGATTTCAATCTGTCCATCTGAGTAAGCAAAGCATTCACAACCTAGTAAAAATCAAGTAGCATGATTAGTCAGCATGAAATTTTATCATATTACCAACTCCGACTAATATCAGTGTCAAGGGAGAGATAAGTAAGGCCAGAAGTAGCACCCTTATGGAATCTGATGGTTCGGAACCAGACACAGCCGCTTGTCTGGCAGCAGCAAGGCTTTCGACTTCATCTACAAAACAACAAATTCGAAACTCATGGTTTCGTATTTGATCAATACAAGAACAATATGGGGTATCCATTGAACAAATTGATATAAAAGGAATCTATTAATTAAAACCATATCAAGCATATAAACTTGTATTGTAAGGATCCATATAGTCAATCTGTAATAGATGGAAACCAAGCTTGTTGCTCAGCACTCAAGTTGTTGACAAGTGTCACAAGTAAGATTTCAACTATCAGTTAAACCGGTATGTACTGATTGGTGCTTATTTTTAATTTTTTTCCACAAGTACTTACTGGTCTGGCCAAGGACCTCTAATGGACCATATGGATTAGTACCAATCAGTATTCATTTTCCTTTGACTACTTTTCAGTGACATTATATGGGACAAGTCTGTACACAACCTGATCTGTTAGTACCATACTGTCCAACAAGATGTTGAAACCAATATTGGGTCGAGATTTTTAATCTTGATCACAGATGAGTTGAAATACAAGGAAAACAATTAATTAAGGAAGGAACTAGGTTGCTACTGGGTAAAAGGTTGGGGCATGTCTATCTAATTTATCCAACTACAAACAGTAGTTGTGAGGGTCAGCACATCAATCTCGCTCAACTACATGCTGCTTGACATATACCTACCTTCAATTCTTTTTTATTTTTGACGCATATATTCCCATGCCTTCTTAATCCGACACTATATAAGATATGATGGTTATTAACATCAAATCAGTGAAACAGAAATAGACATAAAATGTATAAATTAAATTTATGGCATTTCGTCATTAAAAAAACTACTTTAGACTATTTCCTGGAACTGTACAATAGATTTTGATCAGTTTAAAAAGTTTGTATATTAGAGAACTTGAGTTCCAAGAATCCAAAGTGTTCTCATCATACACCACAATGTATCAGTTGCATGCAAACTTATGAAGTACAATGACAAGGTGATCATCTTAAACACACTCAAGGAAGAAAATAAACAAAATTAGATCAGATGAAAGCGAACCAATCAAGACGAATACAAGATTATTTTCTTCTTCCACCATTTCCTGGATTTTCTGGAAAAGCTTCGCAACCTGTAGAGGTCTCATGATGAGCAAATAAAAAATTCAAATAAGTAGACATCCTATACCAGTCACTGTTTCCATGAGGATAAAAATATTTCTTCATTATATTTATCCTCCATACGACCAAATATTAATAAAACTGTAACATATAAGCCTGTGGGGACAAGAAAATTGTATAGGAAATGCATAACAGGCACCTCGAGCTGGAAACACTAATAGTTTTACCTAATGGCATTTATTTGTTATATTAACAAATCCATGAGCAAGATCGTCATGTTTGAAGACTACAGAAAGAGACAAAACAATGAATTTGACCCCTCTATGAAAATTGATATATTTAACATTTTCTCTAGCTACAAAGATGGACTGCAAATCTCTATCTTTTCATGATCAGCTAAAGTTAATTCAATCCAACACTGTGGTCCCAAAAATGATGAATGGATGAACCTTACTTTCCAACTAATTCAGATCAACAGTCAAAAATTTGAGTATAAGACAGTAATTCTACAAAAAGCTAAGAAGCTAAAAGGAGTAAATAATAATATTGAAACAGAATAAAAACATATATTTGAAGAGACAGAAACAGTTGAAGAAGAAGGTAATACAACAAAAGTAAAACAAAATCATATCTTTAAGAAAATACAAAGCACTTTCCATTTCATTATTTCTCAACCACCGGCAATAACCATATTTCTGCTTATTACCAAAATATACAAAATCAATCAATTTACTCCATTACTTCCCTTACCTTTGATATTCTAAGAATTCTTTTATTAATGGAAATGAAATATAAACTTGTACAAATTTCAAACACCAAATAGAATGCTTGAAAAATTATCTACATGTCAATCTTTATTTCTCAATGTTTATAATTATTTTCAGAAAAATATATTACCAGTAAATGCAAGCTACAGATGTAAGAGTATGCTGAACATAAACTACTAGAAGAGGCACCAGTTTATATGAAATGATAAAGCATACCAATTTTCCACTTTCTGAAAACCATTTGCTGAATAATGAATGAGCATTGACTTCTACTAGCTGGCACCATGAGTACCTATTATAGACAAATAATAATATCATCACCTAGAAATAACGACGTAGTACTCTGGAAAGATAAGCATTAATGAAATTTCATCCTTAACAAACCTTGACTTCAAACGTATAGAAAGCTTTTGAGCCAATGCTTTGCACAAAGATGTCTTTCCAGTTCCGGGAGGTCCATGTAAAAGGATAATCCTATAAATACAATATTGAACCTGAGAAATAAAGTTCACCTTGCACAAAATGGGTGCATTTTGAATAATTCATGCTAAATGACAATTTCACAGCCAAAATCTTTTTGAAATCACTAAAACTTCAAAACATTTAATGGCATATATCATAAAAAAGTGGCAGCTAGAAATAAATTGCATACTACATATGCCCCACAAAACAAAGGTATGTTACCGGGAAAGCTTGCTATGAGATGAACCAAAGACTTTAAAAGGTACATATTTAATATGTAACTATGTATATCTGATAGTAGTAAATCTGCAAAGTTGATGAGTTGCCCCAATTTAAACTGCTCAACCCATCTTGCTTTGTAAAATAAAATGCATGGCCATTGTAGGTCTTAAAAATGCCAAAAATAACAGAGAGCAGTCCAATTCTGCATTTTGTACACTACTACTGCAATAGCATATTTTTCAAATAGTCAAACAATGAACAAAAGTTGCACCAGTTACTCATTGCAAATGCAAAATCAACTGCTTTCAGGACAACATCCAACATGTAAAAGTATATTCAAATGGATAAAGAACAACAGTCATGCACAAGCCCAATGACAGTATGCATAGACCTCAGGATTCTGAGGATTGGCACATAGGCAACAAATGCCTGAATAGAGAAGACTACTTCAATATCTTCTAGTAAATGAGATGAGTGAAGATTTCAGAATTGATCTGGAAAATAAAGCACAAAATATTTTTCATATTTCAAAACATTGATTGTATATATATGGAAAGATTCCATTGGTCATATCAATTTGTTAAATCGAAGTAACGCATGTGGCTCATGCGCTGAAAGAACTACAGTTTCTGGATTTAATGATGAACACAAGTTTAGTTTTTTTTAACAGACATTTAAATTATTCAAGGTAGTTCCACTAAGTAGAGAATAGGAGAACAGAATGAATATATAGTGTAAGCTGACTTAAGTAGGAAGACAATATAATTAGAAAATACAAAAAAAAAGGAAAACTAAAGAGTTCAGATAATAGCATAGAAAGTTTGAAGGTTTGCATATTAAAGCTAATTGTTTGATTGATTCAGCAATGATCAACAACTGACTGCATTTGTATTGTGTAGCTTATAAGAGAGGTTTCCAACAATTATACATGACTATTAGACTACAATAATGCTCCAAAACATAATTTGGGAACAAAGAATATAGCATGATTTATACAGGTACAACCTCATGACATTAATTACAAAGGCTTAAATAGATTGAAACATGAGAATTTATCAAAAATCATAATGAACATGAAACATCACAAAGACAAATATCTAAAGTTTCTAAATGTTTCTCACCTGTTCCATGACACGAGGCAAGGATCTACACCTCTCTCGGTAAACAAAAGAGCACTAGCGGCATACCGCAGCAACCGCTGTTTGAGACCAGTTTCATATATTAAGCTGCAGGAATAGATATTAAATTAATAAAAAATGCATATAAAAAACTAAGTGACCATGAAAAAGCTGAAAGATATACTGAACCTTTCCCACAATCCATCAAATTCTCTTGCTGGTAGAACCCACTCGTTGAAGCTAGAAAGCATATCATCTCCACTTGGTTCCTCACCTGGGCCCTCTTCATTAAGCTGTAGAAAAGGTATATCTATCATTTATAATAGCTGAATTGTAACAAATAGCATATTAAATTTTCAAAATTAGAAAAATGAAATAATGTCAAATCTGATAACGTGAACCTCTAATGATCTTATCCACAGTGTAACAAATTGACCGACAAAATGTCAGTAGTATATTCTGAAAAGTAAAAAAAATAAGTGAAATTTGATAAAAGATTATGATTTTCTTAACTTTGGACAAAATAATCAAGATTGAAGCCGACCAGCTTTGATTAATAATGAGACAGAATACCTACCTTGATTGAAATACACTGGAAAATGGTAAAAGGAGCTGGAGGGAAATTGCATGAAGAAGAGGAGAGAAGAATAGAAGGAAAGGAGGACCAAGAAGAAGGGAAGAATACAACAAAAGAGATGATATTTGTATAAGTTTTCTACATTTTATACTTTGAATTTTCTAATTAATTAATATTTTGGAATTTGAATTTGTTCATTATATAAGTGTTGATATTTGATTCTGATCAAATTGATTATTCTAGCAGAATTATAATTATTTTTAATGTTCTCCATCAGCATCCCAAACAAAACATTATGTATTTATTGATCAGAATTTCTAAGGAAATGTTATCTATTTATATATCATAACTGATTGAACAATTGATTAGTTCAATGGCACATAGGTTGATAGATGGTTTTGTTAACTAGAGACTGCTAATGATGGATTCTCAAAGGAAAACAGTTATGATGAAATTTACCAATTTTACCAGCTTCACAATTCTTAAGTTTCCTTTTATAACCTAAATCTTAAAGAGTATGTAAAGAGAAATGAAGCATCAAACTGTAATGAATTTATTTTCAGTTGATAAACACATGCCAAAAGCTAAGAGGAAAGATAAATGACAATCGCTTTCCAACTTGCAAATGACATAACCATTAAAATTAGAGCCATTCTCAATAAAGAGACTACATTTTTATTCAAAAGTAACAAATGACCAACATTGGAGGCACTAATCACATAAAGAGTGCAACATAAACACGCATACCTGATATACATGCACAACCGGTCTGACTTGCCAAAATAGTAAGACTTTATGGTTCTCCACCCACTCATCTGCAAAAGAATGGATACATCAGAACCCAACAAAGAAATAACAACTAAGATAGAAACCTAAGAGAAAAGTCACTTCATTAAGCTATTCAACCTGTGTCACAAACTAAGATTCTTTTTACATTTTCAACAAAAAAAGAATCATCAGCAGGCACTGGAATGGGACCATCAACATAGGTCATGCTCCTTTTCTCAAGCATCCTAGTAAAGATTAAATTATGATTAGGAAGTTACAGCACCAATAACTAGGTAAAATATGTAAAACATATTGGAACATCAAACACTTAAGAAAAGAAGACTAAAACCAAATATGTTCATATCCAAGAGATGAAAAAAATACAGTATGTGCAGCGATATCTTGATAAATAAAGGCACAAGAAGAATAACAATCATCATCAAAGTACCACATAGAAAATAAACAAAATCAAAATCAAAACTTGTATTATTTCGAGTATTCATTACCAAAAATGTTCTGACCTTACATTCAACATTATCCAACTCTTGCTGGGGACAGTTGAGTTGGAACCTCATGAGAAAAAACCAAAACCAGGAAGGTAAAAGGTGAAGTTATTGCCCTAATTATCTTTATCCGGTACTAGAAGTAAATAAAAAGCATCAGCTGATGCCAAGTTTTCAACAATAAGCTTCACCGGACCAAAACTTAAGTGACAGCTGCCCCATCATTGACCATGTTCCCACATGCAACTCGAGTGGACATTGACCATATTGTCACCATACAGAATAAGCATGAGACATGAGCGTTGTTGAGCATATACACGCAAATATAAAATCTTTCACTACGGCCCACCCACTATAATCAGAGAATCGGGCACCACAATCTAATGGGGAAGTACCCCATATATGCTCTAGATAAGTCCTCATCACATGGTTACTAAATGGCTGTCAAGAATCTTGCCATTAAACAGAGACCAGCAACTACACTACGAGGAGATACCATTAATGGTCTGAGAGCTCTATGGCACATAACCAAACAACTTCTAGTAACTTTATTACTCTATGTTACCCACTCTCTCCAAAACTTCCTTTTTTCCTCTAGCTGATGTCCTTCTGCATACGTTGATAGGACCTCAATGTTATTGAATTTATTTAACATGGTCTGACATGCAAAGAATTACTCTTCCAAGTCAAAGTTTTGTGTACCATATGAGCATGCTAGTCAGCAACTTTGCACAAGAAGAGACTAATATATCATTGGCACAACTCTATACCATGTAACATATCTCTATCCCAGGCAGCTGATCTGTCACTTCCCACTAAAAATTTTCTAGACCACTTTCAGAAGGGATCTCCATGGTTCTTATCTCATTTTACAACTACTTCCAAAACCAATCTCCTAACACAGTAGAACCAAATAATGTCTGACATACCATCATGCTTCAGTGAAGCCACCACACAAGAATTTTGCTTCATATGTGCATTAAGATTTCTGTAGTCCTCCTTGGATAAAATGCATGACACGCACAACTACAACGGTCCCAAACTAATTGACGCTGCAAGTGTCACCATAGTCTTCCTCATCACTGTTAAAAACATGTGGAGCTTTTCGTTAACGTTGATCAGTATCTCAAGGGAAACCAAATTCAACGAAAACAGTGCACCGCTACGCTTCTACCATCAAACATCTCAACAGAACCAAAGACTCCCTGAGTCATTTTAGAAACAACAAAGAAAATCCAAAAACATCCACGTTCTATCACTTTGGGACTTATCTGAAAAGCAGGAGACGGAGAGAAAGATAAGAACCTTTCAACGGCGGCGCGTGCGTCCTCAGCTCGAGCAGTGCTCGAGGGTTTCAAGCAGACCTCAACTGCGGACCAAAAACAAATCAATCGCTCCAGGAAAGACTCGATAATTTGGAAAAAAGGGATAAGGAGGAGAGGAAGAAGAATCGGCTTTACCGGAAACGAGGACCTTATCATCTGCGGCGGAGATCGGCGGGGGCAAAGGCGCGGGGCGGCCAGAGACGCCCTCCGGCTTGGAGAGGTCGGTTACCTCGGAGCCATTCTCTAGCGAAACCTCCATCGGAGAGCTCATCAGCTTTTCTCTCCCCTCCTAAGACGACTGCGGGAACCCTAATTTGAAAGTTCGAATATAACTCTCGTTCCCTCGCTTCGTAACGACGGCTTCCGCCACGTGGATGGGCCGGTTCTGTACATAACTGGTCTCGAAAACTAATAGTAAGCCCGGTCCGGCCCATCAAATAAATACAGGCCGATATGCTATATTTTATTATAAAAACAATTTTTATTTTTCTCTGATTTGAAATAAATATGTATAGAAATTCTGAAAAACATAAACTCATGTCTTAATAAATCATAAAAGAAGACCATTGAAACCATGAAAACCCATCAGACCATAGAAGTATATATGAAATAATTTGTTTTTTCAGAAATTGAAATTTTCAAAGATATATGCAGACAGATTTCGAAACAGTATATACTAAGAAACTATTTTTCCTTCCTTATTCTGATTTGTTAGAAACTAAAAAAAATCTAAAGAAATGTGTTTACCAAATCAGAAAAGGTAAATTCTCTTGTCATCAAATTTTCCAGAACCATTGAACTATAGGAGCATTCCATGTTCTGATTTATTATTTTTCCAAAAATAAAAATATAAAGAAATAATTGGTGCTTCAAATAGTGACAAATTAAAAGAGATTATTTAAATTGCATGGTAGGTCATGATTATTTAATTAACATAACCCCAACATGGGCCTTTATATTCTATTTTTCCAAAAAATATTTATTTTTCTTCCTTTTTCTGATTAGTTAAGAGTTGAAAATATCGAAGAAATATGTATAAAATTCTAAAAAATATAAAACTCTACTCCAAAACATTAATAAAATTTAATACCATAAAAGTGTTTTCAAAATAATATTTACAATTTTTTTTCATTATATATTAATAATTGATATTACTTCATACTGAGCTCAAAAAGATCTCTCCTCTACTGTTTAACACAGAACAAAAAAAATGCTCATGCAATATAACAAACAGCCTTCCTACTTATTTAGTTTTCACATAGGAATTAGGGAAATTCTCATACCATTCTTATTTGCAAAATGCTGCTGAACATGATTGCTCAAACTGTGTTGGTTCCATGACTGTCTTAGATGAATGATAACAATGTGTTTGTCAATTCAACTGGTAAGAGTAACAAAGATATGCCAGATCATTCAGCCACATAGGCCATGTTTACTCGACATGAATCATAAATCTGTGGAACACGACAGCTCGGTGTGTATTTTGCACTTCCAGCATTGATCATATTGAAAATGTTCATATCTAAACTCAGCTAGTGGAGCATTTCTACGAAGGAACGTGGAAGTCAAACCTATCCTTGTTCTTCATTAGAATTAGAAAGGCACAATATAGATATTAAAGCATCTTCTTACCAGTGATCATGACAAGAACAGATGCCACCCTCAAAATGATGGAAGCGATTTGCATCTCGTACGATGATTACTCGGCTCTCGATTTTGGAGATGAATTTTATTGCATTATGACAATCTCCACAAACACGAAGGTTTTTGGTCACACGAATCACAGTTCCGGGATTCATATTGATCAAGCCAAAGACGATGGCGAGCCTCTCGCTGTGATAAGAAAGTGCAATTTCCTTGCTCTCGTCGTCCACATCATGGAGTGCAAAATCTACCAAAGGAACATAACCCAATTGTTTCATCCGCACACTCAGTTGGTCAAGATAAGCATATATCTCCCGAGAATGAGGATGAGACTTATCATCCACTCCAAATTTATGAACTTGGTTGTTGAACTCAATCAAGCTAATGCCTTGATCCTTGTTCACTCTTCTCCCTACCATTAGCTTCCTCACTCTCTCCACATCCGTCCACCTTGATTTAGCAGCATAGACATTGGAGAGGAGAACAAAATATCCAGCATGGTTGTGGTCTCTGTTCATGATCTTGTCTGCAATTTTTTCTCCTAAATCTAGATCCCCATGAATTCGACAAGCTCCAAGAAGAGAAACCCAAATACTAGTATCTGGTTCCATGGGCATTTGCTTTATAAACTCTTCAGCTTCCTGCAGCTTCCCTGCACGTCCAAGGATGTCTACCATGCACGCATAGTGATTCATCTTTGGCTCAATTCCATACTTCAGATTCATAGAATCGAAGAACCTTCTGCCCTCCTCCGAAAGCCCCGAGTGGCTGCAAGCAGAAAGGAGACTGGTAAAGGTGGTAGCATTTGGCATCACCCCATCATCCACCATATTGTCGAATGTAGAGATGGCTTCTCCGGCTAGGCCATGGTATCCGAAGCCTGCTACCATCGTACTCCAGCACACGACATCCTTGCTATCAATACGATCGAACATTAGCCTCGCCAACTCCAAGTTCCCACACTTGACATACATGTCGACGACTGCAGTAGCGACCAAAACGTCATGCTCGAACCTGGTTTTAATCGCGAGGCAGTGGAAGCATTCTCCTCCCCTAAGAGCCCCAAGACGGCCGCAAGCAAGGAGTGCGCTCAACAAGCTGACCCGGTTGGGCTTCACGCTCGAGAGTTGCATGAGCCGGAAGAACTCCAGCGTCTCCATGGTCAGGCCATTGTGAGCGTACCCAGAGATCATCGAAGTCCAACAAACCAAATCTCTGTTAGCCATTTTATCGAACGTCTGCCGCGCGCAGAAGACGTCGCCGCACTTGGAGTACATGTCGACCAGCGCGGCGGCCACGAAGAGGTCGCTAGCGCACCCGAAACAGAGGGAGTGCTGGTGGAGCAATTTCCCTACCCACAGGTCGGAGAGGGCGGCGCAGGACCTGAGCGCGAATGGGAAGGTGAACTTGTCGGGACGAAGGCCGGAGGAGAGGAGGGTGGAGTAGAGGCTGAGAGCGACGTGGAAGCGGCCTCCGGCGGCGCAGGCGCGGATAGCCATGTTGAAGAGGAAGGGGGAGGGGCTGGGGACGGAGCGGAAGAGTGGGAGGGCGGAGTCGAGGAGGCCGAGGGAGAGGTAGCCGAGGGTGGCGGCCGAGAGGAGGGTGGGGATGCGGCGGTGGAGGCCGAGGGTGAGGATGCGGGCGTGCGCTTGCTTGAGGTGGCTCGGGCGGGCGCATGACTTGAGCAGGGAGGAAATGGTCGTTATCGTCTCGGGGCACATAACGGCAGGGGAAGCGGTGGTTGGCGAGGCCGAAGCGTCCGTCGATGGAAGGAATTCGTTGGGTGCCTTCGCATTGCTGAGAATTCTCATACACGACGTGAAAAGCAGCACTGGATATATGAATATATGCACACATAAAGCTTAGCTATTGGCTTTCTTCCTCCGGTATCGGCTCCTTCAACGCCTCCCAAACCTTCGACCACCACGTCATCGAACAGCCTCTCTGCTCCAATCCCCCATCCACCACCACGGTGATGACGACGACGGCGAGCAGGTGGAGCGGCTGCGTCGTCTTCAGCCATCGGCCCTCCTCGCGTCCATGGCCTCCGCCGTCTCCGAAGTTTCCCAGACCCGCTCCGTTCTCCGTTCTCCGCCCTCCTCCCCCGACCACTGTACCGCGACGCCAGCGTCTCCCGACGGCTCGAGGAGAACGTCGGTGCCACGCGTCCCGAGTAGATTGACTAGCTTCGGTGGCGGTCAGAGCCGAGCCGACAGGGCTGGGGGAACGCGGCCCGACGGGCCGTGATCCAGCTGGACGGTTCGTCTACCAGAGGCCCATCATAAATGGCCAATGATAGATTACCAATATAGTTAGCTAATTTAGTAATGACCAAGTAATAACTAGGCTAATTATATATTACCAATATAGTTAGCTATATAGGCTTAGCATCTTAGTCTCTATATTATAGAAAAGTTATATTGAGATTTTTAATCTTATATAAGTGAAATATTTAATCTCATTTATCCTCACGCTGTCGATTTTATTGATTGAAAATACTGTATATGTTGTCATGTATAAAAAAACGATGTGTTTCGTAATCCTTCTCTAGCTTTATTCTCCCTTTTGGCTTCACTATCCTCCTAAATGATCTATCAGAAGGAGAAAGTTTTGATTAAATCTTGAAAGTTTGTTCATTACAATGAACTCGTTGATGGTGGTTGTCATCTTATCGATGTTACTTAGAAGGTAGCTAGAGAATAAGCATTCACCATTTCAATTCTAAATTTTGAAGATTTTTTATCTATAAATTTAATTTTATAATTGAGGACATAAATTTAGAAAAATTAATTTTTAAATGGTAAAACTAGCGACAAACCGAAGGAATGAGTCAAATGGCTTCCCTAGGTAGAATGGTGGTATAATATCTCTTACCATTCTTCTGTTAAAATGACTCATTTTGAAGTAGTTTATGGTTAACTCCCACCTACAATTACAAAATATGTACCCGGTTCTTCTAAAGTTGATCAAGTGGATAAGGAATTGATGGATATAAATAAGATTATTTAGCTTTTAAATGATAACCTCATAGTCGCACAAGCAAGAATGAAACAACAAGCTGATAAACACCAAAGTGAACGAGAATTTACTGTTGGTGATTGGGTTTTCCTTCGTCTTCAACCCTACAAGCAAACTTCCATAACGGTCCGATCTTCTATGAAGCTATCTCCTCAGTTTTTTGGGCCTTATAAGTCTTTCATATTGCATGCCTTAAATAGAAATTGGGTGAAGATGCAATAGTGTAGTGTCATTTGCTGGACACTTCTACTACTAGGGAAGTTCAAGTTCAACCACAAGCCATACTTGATCGACGAGTTGTAATGTATCACAGACATCCTGTAACTGAAGTGCTAGTGCAATAGGCTAACTTACCAAAGGAAGATGCCACTTGGGAGTTCTACAGCATGCTCAAGGAGAAGGTTCCAGAATTTGATGCTACTCAGCCTTGAGGACAAGGCTAAATTGAAGGAGGCGGGATTATTAGGATCCTTTTATTTTTCCTTTTAATTTATGTGCTTTAATTTTATTTTCTACATATTTATTTTCTGTATATTTATTAAGTCTATTTAGTTTAGCTGAAGTCGGAACTCTATAAATAGGGATGTAACTGCTTCTTTTCAATTATCTATGAAAAATATTATTTTG